GATGTGGAGCAACAGAAACACCCATTCACATCTGATGGGAATGCAAAAATGGTAGTGTATTTTCTTACAGAACTAAATATGCATTTATTTACTCATGGTTACGGATGTCCCTCCTCCCCCCCCCCCCCCCCCCACTGGCACTGTCCTCTCCACTCCCATCCCACCCCGCCATAACACAAATTCAGCAATCATGCTCTTTGGTGTTTACCCAAAGGAGTTCAAAATTTATGTTCACACAAAAACCTGCACACAGATGTTTACAGCAGCTTTATCAGTTTCCAAAACTTGGAAGCAACTAAGATGTCCTACAGCACGTGAATGGATCAACTGTGATACACCCAGACAGTGGAATATTATTTAGCTCTTAAAAGAAATAAGTTATCAAGCCATGAAAAATCATGGAGGAACATGAAATGGATATTGCTAAGTGAATGAAAGCAATCTGAGAAGGCTGCATACTCTATGATTCCAACTATAAAACATTCTGAAAAATCAAAACTATGGAGAAAATAAAAAGATCAGTGGTTGCCAAGTTTGGTGTGGGGGTGGAAGAATGAACAAGAGCACAGAGGAGTTTTAGGGCAGTGAAAATACTATGTATGCTATAATAATAATATATATATGTCATTATTCATGTGTCTAAACCTATATACAGTGATACCTCGGTTCTCGAACGCCTCGGTTTTCGACCAAATGGAGATTCGAGAAACTTTTGTCTCGGAATCCGAACAAATATTTGGAACTCGAACTTCCGAGATGAGCCGAATGGCGTTCATTCGGCCCAGCGCGCCTTGCTTGCGTCATCAGTGTGAGTGCAGAGAGAGAGTCACGCTTTGTGGAGTCACGCTTTCCTATTGGTTTCATTGCTTCGGTTCTCGAACAATTCGGTTCTCGACCGTCCTCCTGGAACGAATTATGTTCGAGAACCGAGGTATCACTGTATTGTATAATATTAAGAATGAACCCTAGCCCTGGCAGCTTTGGTTCAGCAGCTGGAGTGTCGGCCCGTGGACCAGAGAGTCCCGGATTCGGTTCCCACTAGGGGCACATACCTCAGTTACAGTTTGTCCCCGGCCTAGGTGGGGTCATGTGGGTGGCAACCAGTCGATGAGTCTCTCTCACATCGATGTCTCTCTCTCTCTCTCTACCTCCCTCTTTCCCTCCTGCTCTATCTGGACATAAATGCAAAAAAAGTGTCCTCAGGTGAGGATAAAAAAAAAAAAGAATGAACCCTAGCCCTAGCCAGTGTGATTCAATGGATTGAGCATCAGCCTGCGGACCAAAGGGCCTCGAGTTCAATTCCCAGGCAAAGGGCACACACCTGGGTTGCAGGTTAGATTCCCAGTTCAGTTGGGGTTGTGCCAGAAGCAACCAATCGATGTGTTCCTCTCATATCAATGTCTCTCTCTCATATCGATGTTTCTCTCTTTCTGTCTCCTTCCCTCCCTTCCACTCTATCTAAAAAAAAATATATATATCCTTGCGAAGATTAACAAAAAAAGAATGAACCCTAAGAAAACTACAGATTTGTAGTGATGATGTGTCATTGTAGGTTCATCTTTGGTCAAAAGTGTGCCATTCTGGTGAGTGATACCAATAATGGAGGAGATTATGCATGTTTAGGGGCAAGAAATACATGAGAAATGTCTGTACCTTCCTCTCAGTTTTATTGTAAACCAAATGCTAAAAATATTAGGCACTAAACAATTTTTTTTTACCTTAAAGAGAAATCACCTTTCAAAATTTTTACCAAAATACAAATTTCACTATCCTGGTTATTTACAAAGAAAAAGAAAAGAAACTGAGGGATGATCCCACATGAGTATGTTGGTGTTAAGCTGTGTCACTTCTTGACATTATGGACAGACCAACCATGTTGAAGGCCAGTTTGTCAGGCACTCTATCAGAGGCATATCAGTCTTATGGCAATGAGTCTGTGCTCATCCCTGAAATTTTATTTTGCTAGAATTTAAATTCTTAATTCAAAATAGTGAGCATTCTTAATGTTTTTTATACACAGCCTTCAATTTTTTTTCAATAAATGTATCTATTAACACACATAAAAAAAAAAATGTACTGACCACCTACTGCATACAGAGCATTGTGTTGAAAAATGACGATAAGGCAGTGAACAAGATAGCTTTATTCATGAAGCTCACCTCAATCAGAGATGGAAAGACAGATAAATAAGAAAACAAATAAGATAATTAGATTGCATAAATTATAAAATGTGTGGTGTGACAGAGCAACTGGGAAAGACTCTCTTCTGTGATGGCTTCTTGTAGCTTTGTTCTCAGTTTGTTCCCAAAGACAGGCTCGTCAGACAGCCAGGCTGGGGACCAGAGGAGCAAGGAGTAGAGAGAAGACAGACTACCACTTCTAATGAAGATGATCCAAGAAGGGGCAAGGAAAAGCCCTAGTTTCATCACAGATGTGGAACCTGGCTTAGGAAAAGCTAGTCATTTGATCAAGGTCTCCAGCTGGGACTGAAAGTATAGCTGTGATTTCAGAAGATAGGTGACATTTTGGGTGAAGGAAAGAGTATAAGTACAGCCTCTGGTTAGAGCAAGAGAATAAAGTTGGACTCAGAAGAGGTGCCCTGATTATGGTAACTCTATTTGTTAGGGGTAGAGGGTAAGCATCATCAGACTGTGCTACACAAAGGGAAAATAACTTCTGTTGAAAAGGTTTTGTTTGTTTTTGTATTTGGGGGGGGTGTATTTGTTTGCACGGTGGGGAACTACACTATGGAAATACACTAAGAGACCACTACAACCAACTTGGTGAAAAGTTTTAAAAACTGACCCTAGGAGGTAGTAATAGATATGAAGAGAGAGAGACTGTGAGAGCAACTCGGAATGTTTGACTACAAGTATAGCAATGGAAGCAGAAATATACCTGCAGAATCCACCATGAAATAACTCCAATCCTACAGTACTAAATAAACCCTGCATATTTTCACAAATGTGTTAGAATTTTTCCACAAACCCCATGAGCCAATGTTCTTGCTATTGAATAATATCATGCCTGAGAATATCACCTACGCTTGATGAATATGGTTTCATAGTATCTTTTTTTTTCTTTATTGATTTTAGAGAGGAAAGGAGAGAGAGAGAAACACTGATGACAGAGAACATCCACTGGCTGCCTCCTGCATGTCCCCTACTGGGGATTGGGCCCACAACCTAGGCATGTGCCCTGATGGGGAATCGAACCAGTGACCTCTTGGTGCATGGGTCGATGCTCAACCACTGAGCCACAATGGCTGGGCTCACAGTATCTTTTCTAAATCTCAGCAGATAAATGTCTCTACATATTAATTCATTTAGCATTACAATTCCCACCTAATCTTAAACACAATATAAACCACATTATTTTATTCAAATGGCACACAATTTCCAAAAGGAAACTGTATGAGTGTTTTTTTGTTTTAAGTCCAGGTCCCACATAGGCCTCAACAAATGAGAATTTGAAAATTATTTTAAAGAAACAAAAGGACTCATACCAGGTTTAATATGTTCAGTAGTCCTACTGCTATTTTTAGAATGAGCAACACTTCTGCATGTGCAACTTTTTCCAAATGATACTAACAAGGTCAAGGAATATATCCTATCTAAAAAAAAAGACCTATACAACATAGCTAGGATCTCTTACAATGGCTTATCTACAAGTGTTTTGGATTATTTATATGTTTATTTTGCATACATCTTTATTTAAAATATTTATATTACTTGTATTTATTGTTATTATGTTTTCATTCTATTCATTGATATTTTTACATAAAAAACTCCTTGAATTTTACCAGCATTTCACATTCATTGAGTAATTTGCGGCTCAGAACAACCTTGTGAAATATGTAAGTAAAATACCTCTTCCCCTCTACACAGCGGTGAAATTGGAGTTCAGAAAGGTTAGGTAACTTGACTAGTTCAAGATCGCACAGTAATTAGCAAGGGCAGGGTCCTGACCTGGCCTTCTGACTCCATGTTCGTGCTCTTCTCCCCCCAGGACACTACCAATTTAATACCTGAATATTCATGTCCTTTCAACAAATCCGGACCGTACCCAAAGCCACACCACTGCCGCTCTGACAAAATGCTGAATGCCCAAATGCAGCTGGAATACTAGTACTTTTCAGTAAACATAAACACGAGCACACGTTTCAGCCAGGACCTCATTCATGCTGGGTTTGCTCCACTGCACAACACTTACTAAAATACACTACAGCCTTAAAGCATAAGCCCTAATGGCAGCGTCTCTTTCATTGGGAAATTCAGTAAAAGCAAAAGGTGACTCATGCAGTTAACTTATGGTTTTCTAAGTTAATAACAAGGGAAAATAATGAATTGCACAGACCCCTCTCCATCCCCATCCCCAAAGTTGCTTAAGTGTCAAAGCGCGGTAGTTAAACACAGGAACGGAGGTAAGGCTGGAGACAGCATTCCTCCTCCCTGCGACTCCCACCGTCCCCAGGTAACCCACTCCTCAAGGCCCAGTGGGCCTCTTCCGACCCCCAATCCCACCGAGACCAGAGTGACTACCGGTCACCCCACCGTGACCCAAGACAAGAGCCCTGCCCGGAGGTGCGACAGCGGCGGCGACTCGCAGAGCTACAGCCACCCCCTGCCCCAGGCGTCCCCACCTGTCCCCGTAGCCCGCACACCTGGGAGCCCTGCCCCGGCAGAATACGCGCGGCGGGAACCGACCCCTTAACGCAGCGCCCCAGGGCGGCCCGGCGACCCTGGTCAAGTCCGCTTCCGCTTCCACCCCACATGGCCGCGACAGACCGCGCCCCCGCCCCCGCGTGCACCCCGAGTCCCGCAGGGCCCAGGATCGCAGGCTGTGGGAGCGGGACGCCGGCGCTGCGATGGGGGTGGGGGGAGGAAGCGCAGCAGGCGCGCCGCCGGGGAAGAGGAGGAGCGCGACCAGACCGGCCGCGAGGGCAGGGAGAGGGAGAGGGGGTCCGTCACCGCCGGCGCCGTGGAGGAGCGGGCGTCTACCTGGGAGCAGAAGTACGAGCCCTGGATGCCCAGCTTGATGCAGGTGGGACACTGGAGCTTAGCCTCGCTGCTGCAGCCGTCCGTCTCGCACACCCGTGTCTCCACGGCCGCCATGCTGCCTGGCTGCTGGAGGAGCGCCTCGCCGAGGAAGAGGAGGAGGGAGGAACGGCGGGGTGGAGGGAGGGTCGGGGAGGGGAGAGAGGCCGAACCGGGGGAGGAGCTGGGTCCGCCGGGCCTCGGCGCGGAAGGAAGAGGAGCCCAGAACCGGCCCAGACCGCGCTGCGCGCCCCGCCCCGACCCCGCGCGCGCAGCTGGCGCCCCGCCCCCGCCTTCGCCCCGCCCCCGGCAGCCGGCGGGCACGTGGGGGACGCCGGGGACCCTGGCAGAGACCGCCACCAGCTGGGCGCCCAACCCCGTGCTCTGCCGCCTGCCCTCTGGAAGCGTGACCTCCCGGCACGGGGCGGTGAAGGCCAGGCGAGGGCCGCGAGGAGAGGCCCACGTGCCTCGCGGGTCTGCCTGGAGAGACAGATCCCGGCCACCCCGCACTGACTGAGTCCCAGTGTCCTGAATGTCCCCCACGCTCCCAGGCGGTTGGAAAAGGCTCTTCACTCCTCTGCGTTAGTCCACGCGGCAGCTCCCTGGAAAGGAAAATAACGCCCCTTTATAAAGTTCTGCTTCTCACTGACGGCTCTGAGGCATGGACCACCGCTCATTCACAAAGGAATGGAGCCCGAGAGTTGTCTAGGAGAAGGGGGCTGGGGTCGGCCCGATTTTCACGCCATCCCCTCCGCTTACAATCTACAGTGCTACTAATAGTAAAGCAGCAGCTACTAAATATTTAGTACAACCTTTAGTTTTTTACATATATATACCGTGTGTGTGTGTGTGTGTGTGTGTGTATATATATATATATATATATATATATTTTTTTTTTTTTGTATTGTCCCAGGTAGTTTAAGAGGTTAATAGGGGAGAATTTTATTACTCATGAAATGGCAGAGTTGAAAGGAGCATTAGAGGTCATCTGATGGCAAGCCTGTTGCCTAAATCTCAACTATATATCTCAGATCTACCATTTTTCTGACTTGTGCTTGAATATTTCTTGTCACTAGGGAAGAGAGAGGAACTAAAATGTATTGGTCATCAACTAAGTACGGTGACCTTTGTGATATCTAACCCTTTTTTTTGTTGTTGTTTTTGGCTTTCTATTTTTTTTTCTAATCTTTATTGTTGTATTACAGATGTTACTCCTTTTTCCCCTCATTGATCCCCTCCTTCTCGCTCCCATCCCCCTCTTGCCTTCACCACACTGTTTTCTGTATCCATTGGTTATGCATATGTGTATATAAGCTCTTTGGTTTATCTCTTCCCACCCACCTCTATCCCCCTTCCCTTTGAGGTTTGTCAGTCTGTTCCCTACTTCCATGTCTCTGGATCTATTTTGATTGTCAGCTTATTTTGTTCATTATATTCCATAAATAATTGAGATCATGTGGTACTTTTCTTTGACTGGCTTATTCAGCTTAGCATAAATATCTCCAGGTCCCTCCATGTCATCTCAAACAGTAGAGATATTTCTTACAGCTGCATAGTATTCCATTGTGTTAATGTACCACAGTTTTTGGTTTTTTTGTTTTTGTTTTTGTTTTTTTGGTACCTGCCCCTAGCAGGAACCGAACCCGGGACTCTCTAGTCCGCAGGCCGACGCTCCAACTGCTGAGCCAAACCGGCCAGGGCAATGTACCACAGTTTTTTTATCCACTCATCTATTGATGGGCACTTGGGCTATTTCCAGATCCCAGCTATTGTAAATAGTGCTACTATGAACATGGGGTACATATATTCTTTCTGATTGGTGTTTCAGGCTTCTTGGGATATATTCCAAGAAGTGGGATCACTGGGTCAAATGGCATTTCCATTTTTGATTTTTTGAGGAGACACCATATTGTTTTTCATATTGACTGCACTAGTCTGCATTCCTACCAGCAGTGTACTAGAGTACCCTTTTCTCCACACCCTCGCCAGCACTTGTTGTTTGATGATTTGTTGATGGCAGCCATTCTGACAGGTGTAGGGTGATACCTCAAAGTCATTTTAATTTGCGTCTCTCTGATAATTAGTGATACTGAGCATTTTTTCATATGTCTCTTGGCCATTTGTAAGTCCTGTTTGGAGAAGTGTCTATTCAGGTCCTCTGCCCATTTTTTTTTTTTTTAATCCTCACCCAAGGATATTTTTCCACTTATCTATCTTCAGATAGAACGAGAGAGAAAGAGAGAAACATTGACATGAGAGAGGCACATCAATTGGCTGCCTCCTGCATAACCCCAAACAAGGCCGGGGATCAAACCACAACCAAGGTATGTGCCCTTGACCAGAATGGAACCTTCAGCTCTTTGGTCCACAGGCCGACGCTCTAACCACAGAGCCGAACAGGCCAGGGCTTCTGTATTTTTTACTGGATTATTTGTCTTCCTTTTGTTGAGCCATATGACAATTTTATGTATTTTGAATATTAACCCCTTATCCGATGTATCATTGACAAATATGTTCTCCCAAGGAGGGGGTTCCCTTTTCATTTTGAGGATGGTTTCTTTTGCTGTGCAGAAGCTTTTTAGTTTGATGTAGTCCCATTTATTAATCTTTTCTTTTGTTTCTCTTGCCCTAGGCAATGTTATCAGTGAAAATTCTGCTATGTGTGATCTGAGATTTTACTTCCTACATTTTCTTCTAGGATTTTTATGGTTTCATGAGTTACATTTAAGTCTTTTATCCATTTTGAGTTTATTCTTGTATATGGTGTAAGTTGGTGGTCTAGTTTCATTTTTGTACATGTACCTGTCCAATTTTCCCAACACCATTTATTGAAAAAACTATCTTTTCTCCATTGTATGCTCTTGCCTCATTTGTCAAATATTAATTGTGCAAACCAATTGACATGGACACTAGGCTGAGGAAGGCAGGAGGGGGGTGGGAGCAAAATATATATTTTATATATTTTGAATATTAACCCCTTATCCAATGTATCATTGGCAAATATGTTCTCCTAAAGAGTAGGTTTGAGGGAGTCAGTGGGGAAAAGAAAGAATATCAATCTTGGGTTGATTTCTGGGTTCTCTGTTCTGTTCCATTGATCTATATGCCTGTCTTGTGCCAGTACCAGGCTGTTTTGATTACGATGGCTTTGTAGTATAACTTGTTATCTGGTATTGTGATCCCTCCCACTTTGTTCTTCTTTTTCAAGATTACTGTGCCTATTTGGGGTCTTTCTTGGTTCCATATAAACTTTTGGAATATTTGTTCTAGATCTATAAAATATGCCATTGGTACTTTGATAGGGATTGCATCTGTAGATTGCTTTAGTAGTATGAACATTTTAATGATATTGATTCTTCTAATCCATGTACATGGTATATGCTTCCACTTTTTAAAATATCTTTCTCTATTTTTTTTTCTTTATTGATTTTAGGGAGAGAGAGATAGAAACATCTATGAGAGAGAACTTCGATTAGCTGCCTCCTGTATGCCCCCCCACTGGGGATTTGGCCCACAACCTGGGCATATGTCCTGACCAGGAATCAAACCAGTGACCTCTTGGTGCATGGGTCGATGCTCAACCACTGAGCCACACCAGTTTTTCTTTTTCTGAGAAAGAGGTTACAAGTATAGAAAGAATGAAGTATGGTATTGTATTGGAATTTGAAGTATCAATGTGCACTCAAGGTTTTGATAGATAAATAGATAAAATATTGATGTATGTATGAGAGGGAGGGAGGGAGGGAGGAAGGGAGGGAGGGAATAAAACTCTGACTACTAAGAGGACCTAATGGCAGTGAGCACATTTAATCTCCAGATCTTAGTTTTAAATACCATTCTTAACTTAAAGGAATCCGGACTCCTTGGAATATTGGCTCATTCCAGGGCCAGAGAAGGGAACGTACAAGATAAGTCTGGAGAATCTCAAAAACATAAGGTAGAACTCAAAAATGATGGGGACCATAATAAGGACACAGTAGCCAATTTGAAGGGGCTCCCACTGGCCAAATGGTATTTTGTGTTCAGGAAACCGTGAACAGTTTACTGTTGCTGGAGGGTCAAGGCCAAGGTAATTGGAGCATCAAATTTGAGCATCAAAATAAATAATAGCAGATTATAACCCATTGAAATATATAATAATTTATGAGCCCATACTCATAAAAATACATTACAAAATGAGGGGTAAAATTAAGCCCTTCTTTACAATAGAATGTCAACTAATAAATGTGGAAGGAATGACAGAATTAGAAAATCACCATTTGACAACTGTTATTATAATTCATTCAACAAGAATCATCAATGGATGCTAAAACAATTGGGTGAAAGTTTGTTAAGAAACAGAATATTTACATACTCTCAGTGTAACTCTATAAAATATTTATCATTTAAAAAGGTAAAATAGTAATTTCACAGTGGAGAAACCTTGCAGGTACTCTCTTAACTATGTTATCAAAGTTAAAATCACCAGTAATGGTATAAATCAACTTTGTGCACTTCCTGATATGAAACACTGAGAACACATTATATCTTTTGTGGTGCTCCTGCCAAAAATACATTATTGATTCTAATCATGAGGAAATATCAGGCAAACCCAAATTGAATCTAATCTACATTATAATTGCCCTATATTCTTCAAAATTCCAGTGTTCCAAAAGACAAGGAAAGATTTGAGGAACTGTCCCAGATCAAAAGAGACTGAAGAGAGATGACTAACTGTTAAAGCAACACTTGATCCTGGGTTGGATTTTGCACCAAAAGAAAAAATTTGTTTTTGCTCTAAAGGAAATTAGGTCATATTGAATCCTTATGAATTACCTGATTTTGACAGTTACACTCTATATTGTTGGTTCAAAATATACAGAGAGAGAAAATGAATGATAAAACAAGTGTAGTAGAATGTTAACAATTGAGGAACCTCAGTATACCAGAGTTCATTTTACAATTCTTGCAATGTTTCTATAAGTTAGAGATATTTTCAAAATAAAAGGTTTTTAAAAACTTTTCTACATGCTCCTCACTTGCATCAAATCCAAACCAGTCTCTTTGTCTATATGTATCCCTTGCTTAACACGTTAACCTTATCTCTCACTATTCTTCATACCTTGGCCTTGACCCTCCA